GGGAGAAGGGATTGTGGCGTGCCACCCCCCCGGGGGGGGGGTGTGATTTCTTGCTTTCTGTCTCTATGTCTCTCTCGCGAGCACACGCGCCCTATAGCGAAAAACCTCTCCAAAAAAAAAAAAAAAATGCATAGTAAGAGAAAAATGTAAGCTATTATTACAGTCTGAACTTTTAACTTTTGTTAGTGGAGACACAAAAAAACAGGAAATACTAACAGAACCAACTCCAACTCAACTCTGTCGATCCTCCCCCTAAACCTTTTTTTTCTTTCGGTCAGTTCACATTATGGGCCCACGCTATGCCTCAAAACATTCCTTACTGCCAATACGTAGCTTAATGCTGCCAAAGGTTAAGAAACTTGCCTGACGTCCCCTGGCAGTCAAGTCAGGCATGTGATTCACTGGCAGTCAAGTCAGGCATGTGATTCACTGGCAAAGTAGGATTTAACCTACCATGTCAATACAAATAGAGAAGGCAGCCACAGACCTCCGGCCCTGAGAAACTAACTGCTAACGGTCCTGAGAAACAAACTGCTAACGGTCCTGGCTCACGCCAGGATTGTAGGCCTAAATTTACTCGGAAACCAGAGGAACTTCCGGTTTTCTAAAAATGCCTTGGCGCCAAGTTCATGACGTCAACCGCCTGCGACGAGGCGCCGCCATGACGTCTTGTTTTCCCAATGACCTTCAGGGCCTGCGGAGACGTCAGCGGACGGAAGGTCTCAGCCCATGCGCTGATTGGTTGCTTGTTTGAGCCAGCCCCGCCTCCCGCCTTCCGCTCTCCTGGGTAGAAGCTGTCCGGTTATTTTCAGCGTTTCACACTTCTGGTTGATCCTCCGTGGGCTTGCGATGCCGCGTGGAAGCCGAAGCCGCACTTCCCGCATGGCCCCTCCGGCCAGGTGAGGCCATCACGGGGTTTGGGCCGGAGCGCGGTCGCCGGGACTCTGCCGGCGGCATGACGAAGAGGGAGGCCACGGGCTGGGGTGAACCGAGGCGGTTTTTGGCTTGGGCCGGACTAGCGTAGGTTTTGTTCAGCTAGTATGCTAGGAGTGTGAAGAAGGAATTCTCTTGTGGAAATACTTCTTTTCTAAAGGATGGGAAAGATATTTTATAAAGTTACGAGCAGATGCCACTTGATAGGAAAACCATAACCTTTTGACCTAGCCGTCTTTGGGGCGGGAAGCATGGAAAGTCTGAAACTGGGAAAACGGAGCTTGATAAATGTGAAGCCTTTGAAGGCAGTACGGACATAGTAAATTGTTGAAAGCGTCCAAATGTCCTAAAGATAGGGAGTAGTTGAAACTAATTTTGGTATAAAGGTCAAACAAGTCACTTCAGCTTGCTAGGCCTGTTTTCTAGTCTGTAAAATGAAGGAATTGGAAATTATTTCCCCAGATGATTATCATTAGGTGTTAATTCAAGTGTTAATAGATCAGTGAGACCTTCCTTGATTATCCTAAAGATTCGATATCCAAGAACACACTCCCCTATCTGGCTATTTCTTCATTTACTGTTATATGACACATTTGAGTATTAACTGTGTGCATTGGGGCAGTAGGGCGGTGCACACGTGGTAAAAGAATTTACCAGAGACAGAATCGTGAGCATGAGCAGGAGTTAAGTTTATTAACTTTTCACTGGGTGAAAGTGCTGGGAGAGACCAGGGAAAACCTTTTGCCAGAGAGGGACTCTTTTTCATGGTCTCAATCCTAATCCTAGGGGTAGGGTAAGAATAAACTCTCCAAGCTCGTTGCCCTCCTGATAGGAGGGCTGGTCACTTCTCAGGAATGAAGAGCCACTGTCAGCCAATAGTGATTGATTGGGGGGCAGGAAGGGGGTTGGACAGTTGGACTATTTTTGTGTGTGTCCCTCTCCTCCCCGACCCCCATTTTAAAAACTCGGGTGGAGGCTTTATCTTGGGCCCTAAACCTTGAACAAGTTTATGTCCTTAAGTAAGGCTCACTTTAGGCCCTCTTTATTAACCTTTGCTTGCCTGTTTTCTTATGAACCCTCCACAGTGTGTGCGTGCGTGTGTGTGTGTTTAAGGGGGGGACTTTATTGCATCCCATACTTTTTTAATTTAACTTTTGTTTATCCATTTATTTATTTATTTATTTTAATTTTACCAGAGAGGGAGAAAGAGAAATAAAGCCACCAGGTCCAGGTCTCAAACCGGTTGACTATATGGGAGTCCAATGCCCTTAACCACCATGCCACCTGATGGCCCCGCACTGTGTTTTTTAAAGGTGCTATGGATTATGTGGATAGATGGAAGTGGTTGAGAAAATGCAGAAAACAATAGTTTATGTTTGGTGATTTCAGCCTTAAAAGATTGAAGAGATGTGGGGCTGGATGGTGGTATAGCAGCAGAGCGGAGTGGTGGCACCCACATCTGAGGGTCTTAGGTGTGTCCTGAGACCTTCCTGTATACTCTGGGCACTTACATGCCCATGGTCAGGGCTGGCTTAGGCTGGGGTGGATTCAGTAGTGGAGACCCTGTTGGAGGTTCCCCTCCTCCCCTCCATCTAGCTCCTATGGAGGAAATACACTAACCTAAAAAAAAAGAAAAGATTAAATAAATAAAATGGTGTAAATAGTTCCTGGAATCCATGGAGTATTCTTATATGTATATGGTAAGTATTGTGTTTAACTAAAAATCCTGCTATTTAGTTTAATATACAAGTGTGTGTTTTGTTTAAATCGACAGTTTCTAAAACTGGTTTTGAAGTGGCAACTTTGTACTTTCTGTTTTATTTCCTCCTCACAGCCGGGCACCTCAAATGAGAGCTGCCCCCAGACCAGCAGCTCAGCCGCCTGTAGTGGCCCCACCATCTGCAGTCGGCTCTCCTGCTACTGCACCGCGGCAGCCAGGTCTGATGGCCCAGATGGCAACCACCGCAGCTGGTGTGGCTGTGGGCTCTGCTGTGGGACACACACTGGGGCATGCCATCACTGGGGGCTTCAGTGGAGGAAGTAACGCTGAGCCCTCCAGGCCTGACATCACCTACCAGGTAACCTTTGGGGCAGCATTTCCCTTTCATGGCTGTCTTTTAGGAGAAAACTTAGTTGCATATAAGTTTCTTACGTAGAGTAACTGTCTTTTAAATTTAAATTTGCAATGCTGTTCATAGAAACTGGGCTAGCAAAAGGTGAGTTAATGCCTTACACTAGCATCGACAGATACTTTAGGAGTTGGTTTTTCTGCCAAAGGAGTAAACTGACATTCCAACTTGACTCATTGTAAAATAGCCATTTCTTCCCTTAAGTATTTTTATATTTGTGACACTTCTTACTAGTGCATAGGCTCAATGTTCGTTAAGTAACCAAAAATCTCTAAATAGCTCTATGCTCTTAACTGACCCCCACTAACCCCTTTTCTGACTTATGTAGATTTTCTATAATAGTCTTATTTTTCTTCTATGAAGCTTCACTGAACCGTTTAGTCTTGCGATGCCATCTTATTTTGGAATCTTTCTGATTGTAACTAGAATTTTGTTAAAGCTCGTTTGCTTTCTTTACATTTGTTCATCTTCCATGTTCTTGAAATCTTTAATTTTCACCTGGTTCTAGTACTCAAAAAAAAACAGTTAACTTCAAAGAATGGGTACTGCTCTTTGTTTAGGTGTAAGTCTGATTTCTTTTTTCAACAATATTGAATATTTTGCCTTTACAGGAGCCTCAGGGAACCCAGCCAGCATATGATCAGCAGCAGCAGTTTGGACCTTGCCACTATGAGATAAAACAGTTTTTGGAGTGTGCCCAGAACCAGAGTGACATTAAGCTCTGTGAGGGTTTCAGTGAAGTGCTGAAACAGTGCAGATTTGCAAATGGTTAGTGATTTACCAGACTCTTACCTGCTTAGTTCATAGCACTATTCCTGGGCCCTATAAAACTTAGGCTGTCTGCTTAATAAACTGACAGATTAGCGGAGAGTTTGCTTAAATTTTTCTCAAGGGACCAGCAGTTAGCGTAATGGCTATGTCGCTGGACTCCAACATAGTCAACCACGGTTCGAGTCCCGGACCCGGTGGCTTAAACTCACGCCGGGCACGTGTGCGTGTGTGCCCAGGATCCAGAGAGGAGAATGGAGGAGAGGGGATTGCGGCGTGGCCATCCCCCCTGGGGGGTGATTTTCTGCTTTCTGTCTCTCTGTCTGTCTGGCGAGCGCACACACCCTATAGCAAAAACCCCTCCAAAAAATTTTTTTTTCTCAAAATAATTTAACTCTTTTAGCAAGGGGTTAGCTGGTCCAGAGGTTTCTAGTCATTATCTGAAGCAGTTATTTATGTTCTGAATCTGATTCTTCCTTAATCAGGTATAAATTGGTATGTTAGATCTTACTGTGGTTACTACATGTGCATGATTACCTAGCTTTAAGGCCATGGTTATTAAATTATGTTTATTTTCACCAAAATCCAGGACTGGACATAGACCCTGATATATCGTTGACATTCTGCATACCACACAGAGAGAGGAGTTCATAAAGTCCAAGTGGAACTCTTCAGATTTAGGCTCCCTGGAATGTTGGCTGTCAGCTTGTTTTTATGTAATTTCCCTTGTTTACCTAAAAATTCACTAAATATTAGAGTGTTTATTTTATCTTCCCACCTTCATTTGGGTAGGAAGTAAGGGAAAACTTAATCCTTTCCAGTGGTTGAGCTAAGGAATTAAGAGATTGCATATCTAAGTTTGTCAGAAGTCTTTGTTGAAACTATGTTTAGTACCAAAGTGGCTAAATTTCTGCTTTGAGATTCCAAACCTAGGACACATACCCTGTCTCAGTCTTGTCAAGTGTAGAGAGAGTTTTGTTGGCCACAGGATGCCTTTAATGACTTACAAAGGAAACCAGTAACCTTGGGCTGTTGTCAATTATATTGCCATAATTTGGAAGGTGTGTGTTTTGTTAAATATACGCAACTAGCATTTTTCTAACTCACCTTTTTTTGATTGCAGGATTATCCTAATCAAGTTGCTCATACTGAAGAAATAAAGAAGTCGATTCTCATGACCAAGTTAATTTAGTGTGAACAAATAATTGACAGTGAAATTATAAAGTGTAAAATCGTCAGTTAAACCTCTGCTGTTATCAGTAGCTTCCTTTAGAATTACAATGAAAGAGGATATTATTCTGTGAGGAAGTTCATTGAAATGATGTAGAATCTGGGGCTGGGCAGATACTGTGTAACCTTAAACCAGTTGTTGGAGTTGTTTAATGAGTTAATTAGAATAAAGCAATTTTCTTGGAAGATGTGTCTTTTGAGAGTAAGGTCATAAATTGGGTATAGTGTACACACAAGAGCTTACTGAACATACAAGCTTCAAAAAAGAACTTGATTGTCTCAACATGTCCTTAAATTCATGTATTCTATAGTCTCGGGATGTTAAATTAGCTTCTACCTAGAGGAGTTAATGTAAAGAGCAGCTGACTAGCAAACAACATTGTTCGTTAAAAAGGTTCCAATAAGGGCCAGCAAGTGGCATAGTGGTTAAGGCACTGGACTCTCACATGGCTAACCACAGTTCGAGTCCTGGACCTGGTGGCTGGCTTTTTCACTTTCTTTCTATTTCTCTGTCTTTCTCTGGTGAGTACATGGGTCCTATAGATAACTTAAAATAATAATTTTTTTTTTTTAAAAAAGAAATACATTAAGAAGGTTGCAAGTGCTACATGCCTAGAGTTCAAAACACTGAGCAGTAGCAGGACATTTTGCTTAAAATACTATTTTAATCAGCTTAGTGATAAAATAGACCCCTGGGCAAGTCAGCGCTGCGTGTCACTGTTCTGGGATGTCCCATTGGTTGGGTGGGCATGAAAACCATTCTCTTACACACATCTTCCCTTGCCAATGTTTTTCTTCTACCTGTGGCATTGTAGCTTTCACTTGCTGTAAGACTTGAGCCAGCTGTAGTAACCAACTGCATGCTGGTGAAGGACTAAAGGGGACAGACTCAAGTTTTTATTGATTTTTTTTTTTTTTTAAGGTTTTTTCCTTGGGTGAGTGTACTTGCCAGAGAGAGGCAATGAGAGGGAAAGTGAGAAATCAACCCCTGGGTGAATGACCACAACACAATCCCTTCTCCATTCTCTTCCTGGGATTTTGGGCATACATACATGCAAATATGTCCAATGTGAATTTCAAGCTGTTAGGTCCAGGATTTGAACCATGGGATCCAACACCTTAACTACCATGCCCCTTTTAAAACTTTATTTAGAGGTTTTTGCCTTAAGGCATGTGCGCTCACTGGAGAAAGAAGCAGTGAGAGGGAAAGTGAGTTATCACCCCCCCAGGGGGTTGGCTACACCACAATCCCTTCTCTATTTCACTCCTGGGATCTTGGGTATGCATGCATATGCACCCTGTGTGGTTTTGAAGCTACTGGGGCCAGGACTTAGACCGTGGTCGGCCATGTGGGAGTCCAGCAACCTATACCATCTACTGGTCCCATTTTTTTTTTCTTTCTTAGTTTTTGTTTGTTTGTTTTCCAGAGGTCATGTGTGCTCACCAGAGAGAAAATGAGAAATCACTCCCAGAGGGAATTGCCACACTGAAATCCCTTCTCAGGGTTTTGGGCATGTGCATGTGTACACACACCTGTGTGTTTTTCAAGCTGTTAGATCTGGGACTAACCAAGGAGTTGGCCATGTGGGTCCAGCTACCTTAAACACTACCACCCCTAGCCCAGCAAGATTTTTATTTGTTTTAAGTAAACCCATCTACATCCCTCATAGAAAGCTCAGATTGGGGGGGGGCAGCAGATGGTGTAATGGTTACATCACTGGACTCATATGTAGTCAACAGTTGTTCAAGTCCCAGACTCAGCAGCTGAGCACGTGTGCACACATGCCCCAAATTCCAAGAGAATGGAGAAGAGATTGAGGCATGGCCATCCCCCTGGGGGGTGATTTCTCGCTTTCTGTCTGTCTCTACAGTGAGCATACCACAGGGACCAGATCACAGACACCCTGTGGCAAAAATCTCAAAAAAAAAAAGGATTGTCAGGGCTGGCAAGTAGCATGGTGGTTAAGGTGCATGGCCAGCTGTGGGTTCAGGTCCTGGATGGGTAGCCTGAAATATTAACAACAAAAATATTGAACAATTTTTTTTCATAAAGCTCAGGGACCAGCAGATGACATAACGATTATGTTGCTGGACTCCCACATAGTCGGCCAAGTCCTGGGCCCAGTGACTTAAAACTCATGCCGAGCACGTGTGCGTGGAGTGGGGGAGCATAAGAATGGGTGTCCACTGAGTGCCGGCATGTTGGATGTTACTTCCATCAACCTCACACCAATGAGGACCCTGGCCCAGTCACCTGTCTAGAGCCTTTGTGCTTTTCCAGACACTCCAAAGTCCTACAGAAGCCAGCTGAAAACATGGGCTGAGGAAGGGTCTCCAGGTGAACATGAGGGCAGGTCAGAGGTGGATTTCCGAAACTGAAGTCTGCATTCTATAGGGCTACCACACAGACTGTTTCTGAGTGGGCCCTGACATCTGGGTCCCTATGATGGCCAGCAACGTGACATGGCCGGCTGGCTGCCGCGATCACGCACTGAAATGTTCTCCAGGCCCTGCTCTCAGCCCACTTGAAAATCATTTCCAGAGAGGCAAAATGTTCTCCAGGCCCTGCTCTCAGCCCACTTGAAAATCATTTCCAGAGAGGCAAGTGTGTTCCCGACAAGGAAGGTTTTATCTCTTCTGGGCCAGGAGCCCAGGTGAGTTCCAGAGAGGAGACTTCACCTCATTCTGTCCTGGTTGGTCCCAGGCTGCCGGAGTTCCCCTCACCATCCACCAGAGGGCACCCCCTGGTGAGACTCTGCCCGGCGCCCTGTCCCTGCTGAGCACTGGCCTGCGTCCCAGGTTTGCAGTTGTGATTTATTTTTGGCACTTCAGCATTGGTCATCAAGTAGCAAAACCCAAACGAAGAGCAGCAAGTTATTTCCCTCTGGCCACAAGTGTCCGCTCAGGACACAGCTTCGCCTCTCTTGTCCGCTCTCCCCAAGGGATTCTGGGACCTCTGAGATTCTTGTCAAGCTCCTTCAAGGGCCTGCAAGGACCTCACGGTGAGTAGCCAGGCTCTCCTGGACAAAATCCAGGCAGTGAATGGGGTGGAGTAGCTGGGGGGGTGGAAAAGGCAGAAACCCCCAAATCCATTAGACCCGTTTCTCTTGGGAAGGCAGATAGACCTGAGAGAGAAGAGAAGACTCTTGAGACCCCCCTTCAGGGGAGATCTCTAGGGAAAGTAGGTCACTGCAGCTGTTTTTGGACTCTCAGTTTAGAGGAGGGTGTTATGTTCCAGAAAGGACCAGAACACCTACTCCCACTTGGGGAAACTCTTCAAAGGGGTTTGAGAAAGGTGTGAGGGGCACGTATGGCAGGAGATAGAGGCACGAAGCCGGCCCCAGTCCGGCCTCAGAGAAAGGAAATGGGGCAAGATATCCTCCCCCTTCCCAGGAAAGCTGAGCACGGCCAGAACTCTGCCAAGTGGTTGTGCCAGGGAATGGAGACCCCAGCCCAGGATGGCAGCTGGGGGTGGGTCTGGATATACCCTCTGGAGAGCTGGAGGAAGGGAGGGCCCTGGTGCTGCCAGCTTCGGGAAGTGAGGGCATAGGTGCCCATCTTGGGAATGGAGAAGGATTTGCCAGGAAACCGGCTCTTCGCTTTGTGAGGAAGACACTCCTCGGCTCGGTCTTGCTGACAGGGCGGAGGAGCCCGTGCACAGCCAGGCGCCTGCTGTTGGCAGAGGAGACTTGTTATTCTCAACCTTGCTCTGGTAACCAGGCACCCAGTAGTGAGGACACCAGGCTTCCTGGAACAGCCAGCCCAAGGCAGCCAGGGCTGCTGCTTGACTGGCCGGGCCTTCCTCAGCCCAGAGGGGCGGTGCAAGTCGGGGTCAAGGCAGCCTTGGCCTGCTGAGTGGCGGCCTGTGCCTGATTTCCATCTGGTTGGTCGATGGTTCCTTTATTCCTCAAATCCTGCAGCAGAGGTAGGAGTCCGGGTCCCTGCAGGCTCCTCCATATTCCTGAAGCAGAGAAGGTAGAGACTCAGCTCTGGGCCTGAGTGTCCTGGCTCTGTCCTGGCTCACACTGCTGCTGGACCACTGAGGCCTCACCCACTGTTGTCAGGTAGGCCTTGGGGTGTCACACCAGCAGGACCTACACCCATGGGATACCTGTCTACCCATCACTCCACATCCGGGACTGGGGAGCAGCAGCTGCTACACGCCTGCACTAGGTCTGGAGAGGGCTAGAACATCCTAGGAAATACATCATCCACTGGGGGGAGGTGGCAGCACACACCGACAAGTGAGACCAGAGACTGGGACCAGGGCCCCCCCTCCCAGCTGGGAGTCTCAGAGCAGCAGCCACAGTGCTTGGCAAAGACTGGGTGTCCAGTGTCTGCAGAATGAGGGAGGAATGAGCGGGCGGATGACCGTGAAAGCCCTGCTAGACAGAATCAGTGAGGAAGCGACAGCGGGACAGAGCATGGTGAGTGTGTCCTGGAGGAGCGATGTTGGCCAGGTAGGACAGTTACATCCGGGGACGGTGAGGAGAGGCCACAGGAGCAGAAGAGGAAATCGTGAAGCTTCTCACCTTGCCACAAGTGCAAACAGCGGACAGGAAAGGCGGAACTAGTCCCATCTCGCCAGGGAGGAAAGAAAGCGCACTTTAATTTCTCTCTGCAGTTTCTTCATGATTCTGTTTATTTTGTTTTGCCAGAGGGCATGCGTGCTTGCCAGAGAGACAGAAAAGGAAAAAGTACACCCCCCACCCCACGGGGTATGGCCAGGTTACAATACCTTCTCCGTTTCTCCATCCTGTTGGGGTTGTGGGGCACGCACATGTCCATGCACCCAGAGTGTTTTTCGAGCCACCAGGGCAGTGATTTGAACCACACAGTCAACCATGTGGGATCCAACTCCCTTAACTACCTGGCCATGGGGCTGGCCCTGTAGGTTTTCGTTTGTTTAGAAACAGGGTCCCAGGGCCAGCAGATGGTGTAATGATTACATTGCTGAACTCCCATGTAGTCGACCGCGGTTTGAGTCCTGGACCTGGCGGCTTAAACCTCAAGCCAGGTGTGCACATAATCCCACGAAGAGAGTGGAGAAGAGATTGGAGAGTGGCCACCCCCCCTGGGGAGTGATTTCTTGCTTTCTGTCTCTGGCGAGCACTCGCACCCTATAGCAAAAATCTCGCTTTAAAAAATAAATAAATAAACAGGGTGTCTCCTTGGTGATTCTTTCTAAAATCAAGTTCCAGCCTCGTCAGAGTTAACCTTGGAGACTGATCTCCCACCTGGGACCTGAGCCTGGGCCAGGCCTGGCTGACCACCTGCCCACCCCCAGCTGCGACTAAGGAGCCACATGGTCTCTTGAGTCACAGAAATACACAGCAAGGAAGAAGCAAGCTGGACTTGTTCTGAAGCTCCAGGTAGAAAGATGAGGGCAATCCACAAGGAGGGACAGTCATCACTGGGACCAAGAAAGAGCCAGGAAGTCAAAGGCAGCTGAGTTTTCTCAATTTGCAAACTTTGTTTTTTAAATTTTTTTTTAGATTTTTGCCATAGAGTATATGTGCCCACCAGAGAGACAGAGTGAGAAAGTGAGAAATCACCCCCCAGGGGGGATGGTTACACAGCAATCCCTTCTCCTCCATTCTCCTCACACACTCGGGCGCCCAGCATGTTTTTCAAGCAGCTGGGTCCTGGACTTGAACCACAAAGTTGGCCATGTGGGACCTAGCACCATCACCATGCCACCTGCTGATCCCATAAACTATTTTTTTTTTAAGATTTTTGCTATAGGGTGCGTGTGCTCGCCAGACAGAGAGAGACAGAGAGACAGAAAGTGAGAAATCACCCCCCAGGGGGGATGGCCACGCTGCAATCCCTTCTCCTCCATTCTCCTCTTGGGATCTTGGGGACGCACGCACACGTGCCCAGCATGAGTTTTAAGCCACCGGGTCCAGGACGCAAACTGTGGTTGGCTACATGGGAGTCCAGCAACATAGCCATTACGCTAACTGCTGGTCCCTCCACAAACTATTTTTTATACTTTTTCTTTTTACCAGCTGGTCCCTCCACAAACTATTTTTTATACTTTTTCTTTTTGCCAGCTGGTCCCTCCACAAACTATTTTTTATACTTTTTCTTTTTGCCAAAGGGTGCATGCACTCACCAGAGAGAGACAGAGAGGGAAAGTGAAAAAGCATCCCCCCACAGGGGGTGGTCCTGCCATAATCCTTTCTCCATTTCTCCACCCTCTCGGGATTTTGGGCATGCGCAGGAGCGAGCCCAGTGTGCCTCTCAGGCACCAGGTTTGGGACTCAAATCACAGTCAACTATGTGGGACCCAGTGCCCTTTACCATCATGCCACTGGCTACCCTGCAAACTTTATTTCGAACATTTGCTATAGACCAATCTCATGCCAGGGTATGGAAAGATGAGGGAGGAATAGTTCCAGCCTTCCAGGAGCTCATCTCTGGGGTCAAAAAGGCTGACAGCTTCTTTCTGCTCCCCCTTCAGAGGCCCTCAGAGCCAACCTCTGAGGAGCTGAGCATGACCCGGGATGAGGCACTGCCGGACTCTCACTCCGCACAGGGCTTCTATGAGAATTATGAGCCCAAGGAGATTCTGGGCAGGTAAGACCCAGACTTCCCCATGAAGCACTGTCCCAGGCTCCAGCAGGCCCTGTAGGCTGGAACCATCTCTGTGTGACCTGCAGCGCTGATCCCCTTTCCATCTCAGGGCACTGTCCACTTGAGGGATCCCTTGGTTTGGGGTCCTGCCCTCCAGGAGCCAGGGTAGACAAGAGAAGAGATTCTAATCTTTCCTAGCAGAAGGTTTTCCTGCAGGCCCTGTAGGCTGGAACCGTCTCTGTGTGACCTGCAGCGCTGACCCCCTTTCCATCTCAGGGCACTGTCCATTTGAGGGATCCCTTGGTTTGGGGTCCTGCCCTCCAGGAGCCAGGGTAGACAAGAGAAGAGATTCTAATCTTTCCTAGCAGAAGGTTCCCAGGTGCCGTGGATAGGCACATCCACACCCAACATGGGGCCACTGTCAAGCATCAGTCGGAGCCTGTATGTTTTCATTCCACCATCCCCTAAAGTTCACGGGGAGTTGGGGCAAAGTATAAATCACTAAACAGGGCAGACACCTCCGCTGTGACCCGCATGAGGGACTCCCCTTGGAGCAAGGGCCCCCAAGGTCATCGGCCCTTCACACCCCCAGGGGAGTTAGCAGTGTGGTCAGGCGCTGCATCCACAAGCCCACAAGCCAGGAGTACGCCGTGAAGATCATCGACACCACCGGTGGAGGCAGCTTCAGCGCCGAGGAGACGCAGGAGGTGAGAGAAGCCACGCTGAAGGAGGTGGACATCCTGCGCAAGGTCTCCGGGCACCCCAACATCAGTGAGTACAGGCCCCAGGCCACAGCAGGGTGCTCCGTCATGCTTCTGCCCTCCCGAGTCAGGGAGTGCAGCCCCACCGCAGGCTGGCTGGAACCGACGAGTTAGCCATTTCCATTTCAGTACAGCTGAAGGACACTTATGAGACCAACACTTTCTTCTTCTTGGTGTTTGACCTGTAAGTACCCAGCCCTGGAGCCAGCCATCCCCTGGGCCTGTCGGAGAGCGTCCTACTGTGGACCCCACCCAGTGCTGTCTGGAGAACAGCAGCCAGCCCCCACACTGTGGACACCACATAGGATCAGGAATGCTTTAGAAAGATCAGCCCGGGGGGCTTGGGCTTGGGCTGCCAGGTTTTGGACCCGTCACTTAAGGGCTGGAATATTTATTCAAGTATTGATTTTCTGGGACCAGCAGATGGCGTAATGGTTATGTTGTTGGACTCCCATGTAAACAATGGCAGTTCGCATTCAAGACCCAGCGACTTAAAACTCATACCAGGCTTGGGGCAGCAGGTGGCGTGATGGTTGAGGGCGCTGGACTTCCACATGGATGACCAGGGTTTGAGTCTCAAGACCTGGCAGCTTGCTTTCCTCACTTTCTCTCTTTCTTTCTCTCTCTTTGTCCCTTTCTGGTCAAATGAAAATAAATAAATAAATAAATAAAGTAAAATAAATTCTTTAAAAAATACTCATACCACGTGGATGTGCGTGCGATTGCAGCATGGCCGTGCCCTCTGGAGGGTGATCTCTCACTTTGTCTCTCGCTCTCTCCCTCTCTGTTTCTTCAGGGAGTACACATGCCCTACAGCAAGAATCTCTTTTTTTAAAAAAAGTATTGATTTTCTTATTGATATTATAGGACTTATATTATCACAGTGACTGGCATGAGGTAAATACTAATGGTTATGAACTATGATGACAATGACAGTGGTGGGTCACTCAGTTTTTCTAGGCACTGAGGATATGGCAGTGAATGGAAAGACAAGCTCCCTGGTTCGTAGTTGTGTCCCTGTGCATATACATACAGCAGAGCTGGGGGTTAGGGGACTCTTTTGTTTGTGTTTTTAATTTTCTCTAGGGCGCGTGTGCTCACCAGAGGGGTGAGAGAAGTGAGAAATACCCCTGGAGGATGGCTAGACTGCAATCCCTTCTACTCCTCTCTCATTTTGAGATTTGGGGCACATGTGCACATGCACACACACACACAGCATGTTTTTCAAGCCACCAGGTTCAGGACTTGAACTATGCAGTTGGCCATGTGGGATCCAGTTGCCTTAACCACCAGGCCACTAGCTGGCCCCAAGATGAGGTTCTTTAGATGAGTGGTCAGAGGATGCTCTCCAGGAGGTTACCTGAGCAGAGATATGGATGAAGGGGCCTCCCAACAAAGGAGGAGCCAATGCCTGGGCCCTACGACATGTAGACTCAGCATGTTCACATCACTAGGAAGTCAGAGTGGGGGAGCAAAGTGAGCTCATAGTGGAGGGCAGGATTTGAGACCAGTCATTACCAAAGACCAGATTCGCAGGTGTGTTAGCCATGGTAAGGCGTGCGGAGGGCCCAGAGCAGGAAGGCGCTGAGAGCTGGTTTACTTTTGCAAAGGAACCCACTGGCTTAATGCTTAACCATAGGAGGCAAAAGTGGAGAGAGGGAGTCCAGCTGTATCACAGGGAGAGGCAGGTGGCAGAGGCTGCATCTGGGGCATGGTCCAGAGATAAATATCATCATCTTCATCGTTATTCTCCAGCTTCTGCACCGACAAGGTTAGTGAGGGAAGCTTCTTTTAGCTAAGCATCAAATGCAAGTGACACAAAATGCCCTGCAAACTGTATGTCTCCATCTTATATCATTCATTTTTTTTCTTTCTTTCTTTTTTTGGAGAGGTTTTTGCTATAGGGCACATGTGCTTGCCGGAAAGACAGAGAAAGATGAGACATAAAGAGATAAATCACTCCCCAAGGAAGATGGCCACACCGCAATCCCTTCTCCTCCATTCTCCTCTCAGGATCTCGGGCATGCACGCACACTCGCCCGGCATGAGTTTAAGCCACTGGGTCCGGGACTCGAACTGTGGTCGACTACATGGGAGTCCAGCAACATAGCCATTATGCTAACTGCTGGTCCCTTATGCCATTATTTTTCAAAGAATTATTATTATTATTATTATTATTATTATTTTGGAGAGATTTTCA